GGAGCAGCTAGGGAAGAAGAAACCCTACCCAAGCTACTAGCTACTAGATACCACGCGGGAGAGACGCAACCCGAGAGCATGCGAACGAAGATAAGTCGGGTCGGGTCTTCAAAGCCAATACGAGTGCTTCCTTGAGGATCCCGATTGGGCTATTTAGGGATTTTCCGACGTGACAACGTGCTGTCGCAGGATTAATTCTTTCGACTTGGGTGCATTACTTGCATCCAGTAAGATGGAGCTTACCCCTCAATTCCCTGACAAGCAAAGACGACGACGTGCTTCGTTTGGGTTTCAAGGACTTGCTAAGGAGCCGTCAACCCAAACGGCCCGTGGTTTGGCGGTGTCTGCATGGCGTCGATTCAAAACCATGATACTGGGCAGGAGATGGCCGAGTGGTCAGCGGTCTTAGCTCGAGTGACCACGATCGTGTCCAGCTTGATAACCATTCGGACGTTTCGGAGGAAAACAGGAAACGGACGGTGAAATGTCATCGCGATGCGCCTAGTCTCTTAGCAGATACATACGTGCTGCTGTGCATCATGTGAGCATGACCCGTCGCAGCTGAATGAAGCACGGGCGAGTCTAAATTATTGGGTGGATCAAGAGGGGGGGGGACCCTGAGATGATTAGCAGCAACAGTTGACCACTAGTATACTTGTATATACTTGTAACTAGGCTAATTGCATGGGAGCTGGCGACAACTTCCCGGTCATTATTGGCAACTATGATGTGCTGTTGGTAGTAGTAATAGAGGGAAAGAAAGAATGATGATTGATTAGTGAGGAACATCGGTGTGTGGTGCCGTGCCCGCTGATGCCGCTGCCCTGCAGGTGCAATAACTTTGTGCTAGCTGAGGTGGGAGGAGAGGGGGAAAGCGTCGGTCACTGCCCACTTCACCACCTGAATTGAACCACTGCCAAAACAAAACAGAGGAAAATTCCGGCAGGAAGCGGTGAAGAGCCGAGAGAGGAGGGGCTTGCAGGCTGCTGGGTAACTTGGGTACGGACCGCCTAAGCTGTTGGCCGATAACTAACTAACTACTAACTATCACCACTAACTGCATCACGATCCTTGTGCCACCAAATGCGGGACAGACAGGCTTTGTTTGTCAACGTCTGTCAAAGATCCTGGCCGGTTTTACCCTACTTACTGCAGTCCTCGTGTGTCTTTATTTTTTCAAGAACCTTTGCGATAGGTCAGCTGCCCCGTCCCCCAGGGGGGTGTGGTAGGAAAGGAAGAATAACGCTCTGCTGTGCTTTGGGCAGAAATCCAAGCGCGGGCAGTCGCTGATGCTTGCTTGAATCATGCCTGGCTGGCTCGGGATCGTTCACGGAGCAGCAGTAGCAGCAGCAGCAGCAGCCCTGGTCCGCCTTGCAGGGAGCAATGAGAAACTTACGGTGAGCGATCCAACATTACACACACAAGCTGATCCAATACACAGCCACGGTAGCCAGGAGGGCAGCTGGCAACAACCTTCGGGAAGTAGTTTTCCGTTTTGACAGCTGGGCTTAGATCAACTCCTCATGCAAGGTCGATTGATTGCTGCTACTGGTGGCATACATCCATGTCTCTTGTTATCGCACCGGCGGGGCATTGGGCTGCCCCGCGGTACATCGCTTTTGCTGCAGTGGATGGTTGGGAGAGGTGTCAGAACCAGGCTGGAGGAAAGGAACCGTAACATCTGCCCATTCATCCGACCATCAATAATCCTTCTTCGGTATTGCGGGAGGATGTTAGAGGCTGTCCTGGAGTATGTCTGTCCCTCTAAGCAGCATGTCGCGTCTTGCGTTAGTGATCTTGTCAGTCTGATCACAACGACAATACATCGTTACTACTATGCCTCTCTATCACCTAACCCACCTATTCTCCGATTCGTTCAGTATCCTGCAACGACACTCAGCATTGAGCATCCCCATTACTGGCATGAGACTCTATCTAGTCATCGATACATGGCTTACTGGCGCATGACGTTGACTCTATCAGCAGGTCTCTGCTCCATACCTTTCCAGGCTCTTTCTCTCTCTTTTTTTCTTTCCTTCTATTTCTTTTCCTAACTATTGAGTTTCGCTCGCGGGGCAATCTTTACGTTGCCGCGATTCCTTCTCTCTGACCCAGCACATGTCTCAAAGCTTCAGCGAATCCCATTGACTTTTCTCCGTATGGAGTATTGAGTAGTCCTCCGTAGCGCCCTCCCAACTCTCGGGATCCACGGCCCACCTGGAATCAGCTTTGGAGGGACAAGCCACCCGCTTCCGGTCTGCGGTGGATCGTTTTACAGGCGCAGTTCCCGCGCCAGAGTGTCGGGTCCGCCTCTTGAGCCATGAGGAATCCTATACTGTGGCGGATGAGACTCGAAGTGAGGTCTTTGCCAGTCCCACACTGATTGAATTTCTTTTTTTTTTTTTTCCCCTGCTGATCGTCTAGTTCTCATTCAGGTCATGCTCGATGTTACCTTCCATCATGATCGGATCACCCGATAAATATACAGTAACTGACTACTAGTCTGTTAGTTAGTTATGTCGGTTCCGTCCTGACTTAGGCTAAGTCAAGTCGGTACTGTCGGCGCATGGCCGCATGTTTCATAGTAATTGAGGTGGTTACCCGACTACTAGAGATGGTCCACTCTCCCCCCTCCCAGAACAGTCACTAACTACATGATGCTTCGTCAAGCAGATGTATCGAATGCTTCTAGAAAACCCCCGTATTGGAGTAGTTGACGTCAGCGTAAATTATTGTGCATCATGCCATTGGTGCTGAACAACAATGTTAAGATCGAGTAAGATACTCGTTGACAATTACTCGATCGGTCAACACCGGCAGTCAGCGTGACTGCGGCTGTGGCGGGTCAAAGAAGCCCCCAGCAGTAAGTAGACTAATACGTATTAACTACTACGACGGTGGCAGGACTGAAAAGCCCTACAGTAAGTAGTGATCCAAAATTGAGATCCTGGAGTGTCTCTCAGCTGGGATCCCTGGTCTTCTGTCAGAATTACGGACATGATCGGTTCGATCAATGTGGGGAACCGCGCGGGTCATACGCAGTCAACCACCAACCTACTGGGATTTCCCTGTTAGGAGATAACTGGTGTGTCTTTGAAGGCATCCGTTCCATCGGTGATTGCATTTGCATCGATGTAAATCCTCGCAGTCTTTCGGTCTTACTTTATCTAATCGCTAAATAATGACGACAATTACCCAGTCTACGTTACCTGTATGCAACGTAGTCGGTTCGAGTCAGAGAGCCAAGCGGAAACGGAATTTTGAGACTTTGAGAGTAAGAGAAGGGTGTGAGATCTAAAGAAAGAAAGGAGGAGAACGCAAATAGAGACCCGCAGTCTTTCCCGCCTCTCGCTTGGAAGATGGAACAACTAGTTATCCCATGAGACCAGCACCTCGCTGTTTTCGTCAACCTCGATACCTTCATCCACTACTCCGTAACCCCCTTCCAACGTCAGGAGTAGTAGGATAGTAGGATAGACTTTGAAACGAACCAAGGTACCGAGTACCGGGTAGGAAGTACCGGACCAAAGATAGAGCTGAGGAGAGGTACGAATCCACCAGGTACCTTTAGTTCACCACCAGAACCGAAGGTCTTTGTGCACTGGAACCGGCTTCACCTCCCCGAACCAATAAAACCATATAGGCGGTCAGGTGGATGAATGGCACATTTTGGTGGAAGTGAAACATCGAACCCGAGAAAAGGGCGGGAATTGCATCTCATCTCATCTCATCTTTTTTTTTTCTCCCTCCTCGCTTTTCGCCGTTGCGTCACAATCTCACGCCGGCTCGACGGAAGGGATTTGGAGGCAAAAGTACGGGCGAATAGTACTTCCCCGTCGCTGGCTGGCTTTGACAAATCGAGCCACCGTGGCTAAGCCAGCGGGGCTGGGCAACTTGCACCCAAAAAAATGCCTTCCTTCTTTTTCCTTCCCTCTGCTTTCTTTTCCCCACCTCAATTGCGCCCCCTCCCCTCAGAAGGGCGAAGGGAATTGCGGACTTGGCCGGTCTTCGTCTTGCACTTACTCTGTTTCTTCCTTTCTGAATTAATTAAAGTGTCATACAGTAGTATCCAGCATCAGCTGGGACGGGATGGAATCTGTTCCATCTAGTCTCCCTCTTCTCTCCGTCTCTACCTATCGCAATGCGAGATGAAAGCATCCTTTCAGCTGGGATTAATTATGGGGGCGCGGCGCTACAATGGCGTAGCTATCGACGGACTCGACGGCTCAAGTAAGGTTCAGTCTGGATAATGGGTCTACTTTTACGGATACAGAGTACTAAGCATGTCTCGGTTCCTAAAACCACTAATTTCACTCTTCCTCTTCATGCTGACCTATGAAAGAACTCGGTATGTAGGCGACCTGCTGGAGTAGGCAGGTAGATGCCTGTACCACCTACACATGTCAGTGGATTCTCAACAACCGCCAGTGTCCTCCTGTCTTCGTGGCAAAGCTGACCCCCAAATCCACCATTTGATAGGATACACCGGTGGTCAGCGCACACACACACACACACACACACACACACACACACACATTAAACAGTAAAGGGAAATTAAATCCCGGATTGAATAAGGAGTAACTTTCAAAGAAGGACTTTCGTCTCCAACGGAATTGCGGATCCGGTCCCGCGGCGACGGATAACAATCGAGGACCATGGGTCTGATCTCCAATCACACTCGGCTAGTCTCTCGACTCTCGCATGATTGATCGATTCCGCCTTCCTGTTCCCGCCTTTTGGCTTTTTCAGACGGCGCACTATTTGCATTCCGCCCCATTTTAGAGCCATCATAGCCGTCCTCTTTTTGATCATGTGAGCTGCAGGGGAATCCCATCCTCCCCCTTCCGGCGGTACCAGGAACCCCATCCCATTCGCTCAGATCCATGCACTTCTGGAATCCACTGCGGAGCCTCAGACCAAGTTGAACGGCTGTATATCAAGGCCAAGGTGGGCTAGTCCCTGTAAGTGAGTCTACGACTGTGTACTTTGTACCTGTCGACATGAATCGGAGGGAACTTGTCCCTCGCCCCCAACGTGCGGAATCTAGCCTTTCTGGATCCATCAACAGGAGGGGCCCCTACCTCGACTTCCTCCCTCGACACAGTGTATGTACGCTATTCCGTAGTATCCGACAGGGATGCCAACAATGGACCATAACTTTAAATCGCAATATGGCCCGGTACTTTATGCATCTCAACTTTTTCATGGACGTCGTGACTAGTTCGTCGATCGCGGGCGCTGATTTGCAGAAAGGCCTGCCTATCCCTGTGACAGCCGAACTACTGCATCCTTGTTCACAATCACAGACCCCAAACCAGGCCAATGGCATTGTCATGCAGGCGGTCTGCTGCGAACAGCATCCCACCACGCATAGTAGTGCCGAAACAAGATGAGCCAGTGTCATTTCTGGGTTTGGCCTTGATCTGTCACTTTGGCAGCATCCAGGGCTGCACATGGGATGCACAGCAACTGGGTGGTCGAGGCCTATCTAGACGGGTGGAGTCCTGTCAATGATCTGCCGTGTCTCGACCGAGCTTTTGCGATAATGATCCTACTCGCAGATCGTAGGTCGTGGAATGATGGTCCACTGCGCGGTAATAAGCCCGAATGGTCATTGACTTCCACGAATTATGCAGTCATGGATATGTCCATGTTCCATTTCGTCAATCGAGAAGCGGCATGGGCATGCCATTACAGGAAACAAGGTAGTCTAGAAGACCCACTGTGCAACTCGCCAGACCAAGATAATGCTCAGCTACTATTGAGGTAACCGGGCTCACGTCACACAAATCATAAGGTGTGCTACATACGGCACCGAAGCCGGTGAGCCCACTTTGCACGGTGGACTTAGCCACCACCTGACCAAGTTCTCGTCGCGAGGCCCTGGTGCGACAGGCACCGATAGTGTAACACTGTGGTGATGGTGGGTAATCGCCCTGCGGTACTTTGGACCTTTTGCCTATCAGGGAAATTATAGTCCGCTTCGCAGGCTGGCAGGTAGCAGGTAGCCTACTTGGTAGGCGCCGTCGCGCAGGAAAATACTGCCAATGGTCGCTATTTGGTCGTAACGTGTGACCACCGGGCGTGTCGTCGCATATTTGCCGAGCTGTCAAACTACAGGCCGCCACCGAGGCAACAAGTGGAAAAAAGAAATGACGCTAGGAATCATTTATAGATCTCTTCGCAACAACGGGCGGGAAGAAATGTAAAAAAGAGACACTAGATAGAAAGAAAGCAAAAATCAAAAAGGAAATTTTGAGCTCCGATAGGGGGAATCGAACCCCCGGCTGCCGTGTGAGAGACGGCGATGTTAGCCACTACACCATATCGGATTACTTGATATTCTGTCTTCTTTTTTTAGCTATATGTCTCACGGCTGTTGCCTGTCAAATCAAGACAACGTTGGGTGTCTGTCCCCTTCCTCCATCGCAACTCTGCCAACGCAGTGGACTAACTGTGAGATTGTCCGCATGCACCTTCAAGTTGCGGGCTGGCTGCCTTCACCATGATACTGAGCTGGGCATCTATCCAGCCCTGCTTATGCGGTGATTAGCAGGAGCTAAGAGAATGCATTACTTAGTACTTATCTAGTACCGGGTCCGGAATGTGTCCTAGGGCAAAGACATATATTCCAGGGCAGCTCGTGCAGGATAGATCGCCGCGGATTCCGTGCTTGTCAGCTTCCAAACATTGACTCACCCACTCCATTCCGGACCACGGAAACTGGACCTGATCCGGAGAATGCTACCTTTCTGGACAGAAATTATTAATTCAAAACTACTTGGATGGCCAGACCCTGAAGACACAACACCCCTTCGTCATGTGATCGACTGAGGTGCTGGAAGTATACCTTTTACGCGCCGGATGCATTGCATCTGCATCATCCAAGATGAGATGAGGCGGCCGATAAGCTAGCGTAAGCTTCGACTGGATAGAACGACGAGTCGATCCTTCGGGCAGGGATGTCAGCCACTAACGGGCAAAAGTACCCATTTCCCTGTCGCCCCTCCCTCCGTTCCCCAGAAGCATTGAACAGGAAAAGTCCAAAAAGCAAAGGCATTCTAAGTAGCCGGGCACCCGGATCCGATCCGGGACACTAAGACCAGCTAGACTAAGTAGACTCTCACATTTCAGCTCTATTCCTCCCGACCTACAGCATCCAGTGGCTATCCGCGCGCACGCCAAAGAAAATAACAAAACTCTACGCAACTCTAGGTGCTTTGATACATCCACACGGGACGGGAGGACATCTCCGGCTCTCACTATTGGAGCATTATTCCTTCCCCCTTGAGATGTCATGATAACCCAGATTTCGAATGGAGCCCTTGTTTGTCTGTTTGCTTTGTTGATCGGGTTTCATGATGGAGATCTTGTCGTGTGGTCGGCGATAAATGGACGTCAGGTTCATTGGATGAGAGGTGCGTCAACATCCACCCCCTGCTGATCTACTACCAAAGTAGATACTAGTTAACTAGCAGCATGTACTGATTTAGTCCGAGGGACAGATGGATGGACACACCACCCCAATATCTGAGCCTGTCCAGTGCGGCCACAACAACTAAATATCCACAATATGTAAAGCCAAGCATAAGTCCTATCTCCACTCTCCCACACACACACACACACACACACACTCCCTCTCGACGAAAAGGCCAAGTCAAGTATCTACGTATTAACTGCGATAAGTTTAGCGCATCCACACCCATTCGACATTTGACTAAATCCGACAGTCCAGATCAGGTCCCCGAAAGGTAAAATAGAAAGTTGACACGTCCAAAGAAAAGCCCACTGACCACTTAGTTACTGACTTGCTTCACTCACGATCCACAATCACGCAGTCTTATTTCTAATTCAGCAACTCTCTTTTTCATATGAAGTATTTTATCTTTCAATTTCGCCACTGTGGATCGGTCCAGATCGCAGATACAGGTACACACCCAAATGAATGATGAATAACTAACTGGGTCTACACAATAGATACATAGCACACAGTAGTAACTACAGTAACCAAGCATCAACTACTCCATACATCACCAATGACCCCTACTGCATCTGCAGATTACTCCCAACATACCACTTACTATACCAACAGCAACAAGGGAAAGAAGAGACGAAGTACCACAAGGAAATGTGGCTCAACAGCTATGATGCCATGCGACTCAACCAATTCCCGGGTGTGGCGAGTCCGCGCGGCATTAGCCCTGCAGTTGAAACCACCACTGCTGCTACCTAAGTACTTCAGCTGCTACCGCTATATACTGTAACACAACACCTGACTGACTGACTTACAATTCAGCCCAGTTGGGTATTTGCCCGGTGAGATTTGAGCGGTCTACTGTATACTATGCATAGGATTGCATCATTGTGCGATCATTCCTCGGGATATACTTGCTGTATGGGATGGGGAGTATTATGCATGTCGCATGGTGCGGTTGTTGATATATTGTCTACCAAGTAAGTATTCAGGTTGCTTAAGTTGCTGTTGTTTGTGGCCCGACTTGATGCCTGCCTGCCTGCTTGCCTGCTTGCCTGCCCGTCTGGTTTGCCTGCCTGTCTGTTTGTTTGTTTCTGTACGCCCCTATGCTGGTGAACGTTGGTCGGTGTTATGGTAGGCTGTCTGTAGAAGGGAAAATAAACCCGTGTCTCATTTTGCCGGAGCCTGGTTTCATTCTGTTTCCTTAATCGGAGATAATAGCCTAGGTCTAATGTATCTTGCTTCAATTGTCAATTATAAAGTATATATACCAGAACAGACTTTATAGCATGATAAAACCACCAATGCCGATATAAATACGAATACCCCCATCCACAACCAGACATCAAACATCAGACACCCCCCTCGAGAGGAAAAAAAACCCACCAACCAAGTACACTCCGTAGAGACTTCCCGAATCGTCGCCGATATATGCGCGCGCAAGGTATCACCGCAACACAGCAGAGACAGGGCAGCGCAGCACAGTGCAGTGCACATCTTCCTCCTCCCCTCGCACACACTGCATCTGTGATGTAAGCCGACACAACCTGACCCGACTCAGCCCAGCCCAGTTCAGCTCAGCTCAGCTCAGCTCAGCTTGAGTGCGTCAAGAAGAAAAAGTTCTGCCCGATGTAGTGCAAGACAAATGAAGATTGATCGTTGGGCCTGGCCGCTCTTTCAGACAGACAGACAGACAGACAGCCAGCCAGCCTTCATTCTTAGTTGAATCACTCGTAAATCTTAAGTAAGCCTGACACGCATACTGCTGCATATTTTCCTCTGCTGACTGTAACATTTGGTGCATGAAGTTAGGAGGTTTTCTTTCTTGTGTTTGATATGACATTCTTGAGAAAGGTGTGCGGGCTTTGGGGTTGCAGATGAGTTGGTAATTCGCTAAATGGTCAGTTTGGTGATTATTGCATGTTGAGTATAGACTTTTTGTGGTGTTTGCGGGATTTAAGTGGTTTTGGTTGGTTTGTTCTGTTATGGTCTTGGAATTCCAGAGTTCACTTGGTGGTTTTGTATGTATGTCTTTGTGGTTATGGTTTTGGTTTTGGTTCTGCTGTTGTTAAGTTGTGATTATCTGCCTTGAAATGGGTTGACTGTTAGAATTGAAAGAATAATAGTGTATACTTCCAATGCATCATTGAGGACAATAGATGAACCTCGTATATATTCTGAACAATGGCAGATAGAAAACACATGTTGAATGAATGTGAATGTTTGTTTGTAGACAGTAAACACTGTTATCATCAGGTGCCGATAACGTCACGTGCTGGCCGGATTTGCTGGAAATGCGGCATGAGCCATGACATCGACACCGATTTCATCATCAATCCTAATCCCAAGAAGCTATTGAGGTCCTGAAACAAGGCAGGAAAATGCATCGCAGCTGATTAATACCCCTTCAATTCGCATAATTCTCTCCCCGCCATCCCAGAATGAGCTATAGGCTATAGCTAAGCTCCACATTTTACAACATGGCAGCTCACAGAACATGGTTCCTCCGCTCAATTCCTCGCATTCTCCCCCAACACTCCGTCCGATTACGTCCTCTAGCTAGGACACCTGCATCCGCTCTAAAAGTATGGTCTCAGCGGTATAATAGCACCGAAGCCGAGTCCAAGCGATCAGAGTATCATCAGCAAACGCCACTCCCCGATCATATCTCCGAACCGTCACATCTGAATCCGTCCCCGAAGATTATTCGCGCTTTATCTTTCAGGATAAATGTCGCTCGACGATATATGCCGGTGCTGGTGGGCATGGGTGCGTCTCGTTTCTTCGTGAGAAATATGTCGAAGAGGGTCCGCCGAATGGTGGCGACGGAGGTAGTGGCGGGAGCATCTATATTCAGGCCGTTGAAGGTATGACGAGTCTACATAAGCTGGCTCGTAGGGGGATTATAAAGGCCGGTCGGGGGAAGAACGGGCAGGGGAAAAGCAAAGGAGGCAAACGAGGCAACGATGTCCTGCTCCAGGTTCCCGTTGGCACTGTCGTTCGTGAAGTCGATCGTTACGACCCGGTCACGGAGGAAATCGTGCGCCGGAAACGTGAGCGCAAAGAAGCTGCTGCTGCTGCTGCTGCTGCGGCAGAGGAGGGCGCAGAAGAGAGGGATGAAATAGATGAGCTTGGGTTACCGTCTATACGACATGATCGCTGGGTTCTGTACCCTGGTGCCAACCCGTCTGATTACCTGACTACGGTGTTTCCGAATAATCCGCCCCGGAGACAACATATCGCTGCACTGGAACCGCAGGCGCCGATCTATCTCGATCTCTCGCAGCATATGGACAAGCCGATCTTGTTGGCTGCTGGAGGTGCCGGTG